TAAAGTCTTTTGAAAACAAAAAAACAAATAAAATTGTCCCTGAAAAAAGCTATATTATAATTTATTTAAAAATATATATATTATAACTATAAAATAAATAAAAAGACACAAAAGTTTACCAAAAGAATATAACTTTGGTAGGAAACATGCCATGAGGCTTTGTACAGTAATTTCACCTTTTTATTATTAATGCAGTAATTTCTGGTTTTGAATTTGATGTATTTAAGAAAGAGAGAGAATTATGAGCAAAATTATTTGTCTTTTTCTTTAAAAAAAAATTAGCAAAATTAGTTGTCAAATACCAAAAACTTTTTGTGCAAGAAACATATGTTACTTTGTACTTCTCTTCACTCACTTTTTATTATGAAAAACAAACATTTCCTTTCCAACTTTTTTTTTAATTTTAAAAAATAATATTAAATTTAAGATTTTATAATATTATATCTGACTCTTAATATACGGTGAGACATAAATTGAAAACATATAAAAATATATATAAACGAAGAGACACAAATTTTATATATGAAAACCGTGGTGTAAAAGTAAAATTAAAAAAAACCATGAATAATATTTGTCAATTGGTAGGTAGATTGGATATATAAATTTTGATTTTTCCTCTCCATTTTTGTTGAACTAAAATAACTTTTTGGCTGTCGGTATTTAATAATCATTTGCCAACTCAATTTGGTTTATTGAATATATGAAGTGGATACAATTTCAGGTAGGAATTGACCCAATTAATTGCAATGCATTTATAGTTTATTGAAGACAAATTTCCTTTTCCTTTATTTGTTCTTAATTTCCAAAATTAAACTTATAGACATTAGGGGAAAAAAAAGTTAAAAATACCATCAATATTGTATAAATTTTGAGATTTCTTATTCCAATTTGGTTACATTATTATCGATTATGAAGATAATTTAGAAATTCCCCCCTATCTCTTCACAAAGTAGAAATTTTTATTTTTATTAGAAGTGAGAAAAACGGGAGAATCGACTAATAAACTTTTTTTTTTAAAATTAAATTGACTAATAAACTTGATATCAATGTAATGCTTTATTTTTATTGGGTTTTTATTCTAATGTCCACAATATGAATGATGATGAAGAATTATGAAAATGGGTTTAATTTTAGTTTCTAAGTTGACTTTGGCCATTCACCAAACCCAACCAAAAAGTGTGAGAAATCAAGAACTCTTAGACAACATCAAGAGGTGGATTTTCATCTTAAGCACCCAAAATAAAAGGGGAAAAAAAAAACCCAATAACTTACAAACCTATCTTTTTTCTTCCTTGATAGTGAGATTTCCAAAATATATACACAACATTTTCTAATAGCACCAAGGCAAAGAAATCATTTGGATGGTTGACTTGAAGTTTTGTATCTAATGCTTTAAATGTCCTTAGTTTGTATGAGATGGGGGTGGGTATATTGGTGGAACATGGTGCTCAAGCATGTGTGCTTACAATTCTAAACTTTGACGACTGTGTTAATGACTATTTATATGGCTTAAGATGAATTTATTGTTGCAACAAAAAAATTATGTTCTCAATTAGATGTCAATGACTTAAAATCAAATTGTTGAGAGACCGAAACAAAAGAGTAGACTAAGAAGGAGTTGAGTTGATAGACCCGACTAGTAATACATGTTGTTGTAGTCTATTTATAATACTTATGTTAGAGTGATTTTATATATCAAGTCATCTTTTAAAAGTTTTCTTGAAAAGCATACAAATAAGAATAGAATGTGTTAAAATGAACTCATGAGCTACGCTTAGGTTGACATATTTTGTCGATTCTTTTTTAGATAAATATATTTTGTTGATTTGGATTAAGGTAAATAAAACAATAGTAATAAAATATTTAGGAAATGTGGAATAAAATATTAGGAGCATATAAGAGACCAGTGATGACATAATTAAAGGAGCAATTGGCTCAAATTGGGATTGCTTTGCCCAAAAGATTCATTATTTAAAAACAATAAATTAATTAATAATATATATTTTATAACTTTTATTAAGGATTGAGAATGAGAATCTGTGTTAAGTGTTAACGCCTAAGGGTCAAAACTCAAAAGCAAGCTCCAGCCTTAGCCACAGCATGTTCAAGAATCAAAAAAGGATCCATATAATTAAATTAATGATTAATAAAAACTTTTATATTAAATAATAGCCCTTTAAGTCCTGTTTGGTTCCTTTTTTCATATGGGGTATATAAATCAAGTTGCAGTTGCATAGCTCGAAATTAGAGTCAAAGTCTATAATTAGTTACTATGTAAATTAATTTATCTCACTATAAATTAAAAATTAAAAATTTTACCACTATAAATTTGTAATCATCCAATTTTAACTGAAAGAGTTTTATTAAAAATTGAAAGAGTTTATTAAAATAAATATTAAAAAATAAAAGATTACATTGAAGTTTTCTAAGTTAAAAAAAAAAAAACATTTTTAGCCAATCTCAAACTTCATAAGCTTTCCAAGCCCCTAAATCAAAGTCAAAGAAGCCCAACCCAACAAAGTTCCCCATGGCCTTTGATTGACCATCACAATCATTTCTCAATAATAAAATCTTTGAACAAGAAAGAGCCAAATCAAACAAGAAAAAAGTATCAACAATCTTTGATTTGCTGAATTGAATCAATGGAATGAAGGCAATTCCTGGATGTAGTCTTGAGTTTGAGAGGGAAGATTTAATCTACAAAACACATAAAAGAATTGAGAATCCTACAGTAACAAGGTATATTAATTGATTAATGCACCAACTTGACTTTACAAAGCCAGAACAAACAATCAACAACAACAACTTTCAGCAGAATCAACAAACGGGCAACTCTGAAATCTGCCTCTTCTTTGTAAATCTGCTCCAAAAAAAAAATATCCCTCCCTCCTCCTTTCTATATATTTATCTGCAGACCAACCTTTATTATTATTCCTTCATTATATCAATTAATGTTATGGAATGGAATCCCTTCAGGTTCATATTCATAGAGCACTTGACTTCCTCCATGTCACCAGTGACTTTAGAAACTCCATCACCTACACATTTCATGCATTTTTTTATCAACTATTATGTTCTATCTTTCATGCTCTTTTTTGCACTGCAGGGTATGAAACGAGTTTGTAGTTTGTACCTCAGATGGGTCTCTCAAAGAGTATGCTGCACTGCTTTCTTTGGCCACTGAAGACACCAATATGCCACAACCGCAATTTCTTTCTTTCAAAACCTGCAAATTCATCTTCGTCAATTTGTACTTCACAGAGGATGGATTAAGGAAGGGTATTGGATCGTAAAACTTACCCTGAATGCATCTTCGTCGGTTCGATCATCTCCGACGTATATCGGGAGCACGTCGTCGCAGTGGCTAAGTCCTGGAGTACAGTTTCAAGATAGTTGAACACCATGTCAAAGATAGAGCTTTCATAAAAAGTCCCAAAAACCGAAAGCAGGGTCATGGCTAGTGGCTTTCTTACCAAGAGATTCAAGCAAGAATGTAACAGCTTTGCCCTTGTCCCAGCTGATCACCGGTCGTACTTCTAAAACCTACGATTCCAAACGGAATGTTCAGAAAACCAAAACTAGCCTTTTATTAATTAGTATCAAATGAGGATTTGATTGACGATCTCGAAAATACCTTACGACCGTGACTTATGCGCAGACGAGGATAGTTTTCCAGAAGGCCGTAAACACAATTTGCAAGAGCATTCCAGTTCTGGAGAGGAAAAAGGACAATCAGATGAAGTTTGTTCAATATTCATTCATATCCCCTATTGATAATCTTCTGCAGTCCTTTATCTTCTGAGAGGGGGTTACCTTATCATCCACATTTCTGTAATGAACAGAGACACAGAACTTGTTGTTTTCGACTTTTGCTCCAGAAATTCCCTTGGTGATTTCAATCAGGGATCTATAAACCTGTCCAAACAAGAACTTATTTCTTCGTTCAAATGATAAAAACAAGACTAAGTTTGTAGTTATTTTGACAGAATGCGGAAAACCCACCTCGTCTATCAAAGGCAAAAATTCACTAGCAGGCTGGAACATAACTTCCTTGCCCTGAGTAATGAAATGAATTTATGTAAGAGCACAGTAAAATGAGAGATTTAGACATCGACCGAGAACAACGAAATCCGATTTCCTTACATGATTGTTAGTAGAGTGTCTATCAGAGACCATAATGTCCATTCCATGACTACCAGCATAGTAGAGTTCTGTTAGTCCTACAAATTCGTAGACCTGAAGCAGCAAAAACAGAAGGTGCTCAAAATTTACGAATAGGGAAACTAGTTGAATTTATTAGCAAATATTCTAGTAAGATATGAAGCATCATACCTTGTCACGACTTCTTCCGCTAATTATAGCGGTCGGGAAATATTTCGCAGCCTCTTTTACAGCCGTGCGCATCTAAGAAATTTGCAGAGTGGTTAGTCATGCTCAGCAGCAAAGGTGGAGTTTCTAAACTTAGTTACAAGGAATTACAAATTCTTACAGCTTCAGACATGAAAGCACAGTCAGGGTTATCTACAATTGGTGAAAGAGTCCCATCATAGTCCAGAAACAATGCTATTCTCTTGCCCTTCGCGTGAGTTACAATTTGGTCGAATGAGGCAAGTGCCGATGGATACTTAACCTGAGAATAACAAAGGTGCAGATTGTACATAAACAATTCATTCAGATTCCTCAATAATATTCCACCTACATCAGAATGGCAGTATAAGGAATAGTACCATCCAACTGCGATACGGGAAGTCTGAATCAAATGATGAAAGATCATTCACGACGGCCTTGTTCAACCTATTAGGAGGAGGAGATGAAGATTTCATAGCATCTAGCCAACGGCTTGCACGAACATCATCAAGCACGCCAGTCTTTTTCCTTGGGATTAGGAGCAAATTCGGAGAGAAACCAACTCCCGGAGTAGCTCCATATGGCAACATATTCGAATGTACACCGAGCCTCGACTTGCTCATAGGCACAGGGTCGGTGAGGATAGGAGAGTTGTGGTTTGATTTAAGATCCATCTGATCCAGCTTTGGAAGTTGATTCAAGGTGTGTAGAAACTGTAGATTTTAATTGCAACTCAAAGCAATAAAGTTCACTTATGTCCTCTTTAACCCACTCTTTTGTCAATAAAAAACCACCTTTTCAATTTTTTCTTGTCACTACCACTACGCACACAGTCCATCAAGCACAAGACATCTGAAAAATCATCATATAAAAGACGTTAATGGGTTGTTATTATAAACATCAATAAGTTTTCCAAATAGAGAAAACGTTAACAGAGCTCATCTCTACCTTGTCATCTCCCAAACACGCCGAGAAAAATGTGGAGATGGCCAACCTGAAAAGTTTAGTTCATACAGTTTAGTATAAAGCTTAGGGGCAAGATCTCATCATTTGTATCAAAACATAGAGCACCAATTTCAACATCATAAGAACTCTGCTTAAATTTTGCAACAGAGAAGTTCAGCTTAAAACTACTAGTGGCTTCACGGAAAATACAATATAAACATATGTTCAGGAAGTAAAGTTCTTCAACTCAGAAGAAAATCTCAACCAAACAGACATACTGAAACAATGATGATCAGCTGACATAAAATAAAACTCTTAAGGTACTGAAGAGTATATAATATAAGCTGCAATAAGATAGAAAAGTAGATCTAAAACAGCAGAAAAGAAGGGAAAAAAAGGACCAGATTGTATAATAACTAGTGAATTTGCAACGTACAACACTAAGAATATTAGAAGAGCGAGCTGCTAAAAAGCAGTCACCGATAGAAGAGCTTAAAAGGAGTACACAAAAGACCGCACAGTAAAGAGGAAACACCACCATATGCGACCACGCATTATGGGCCTACATAGAAGCAAGCGAAGAAATAAACAAATGATTCAAACAAATGAAGATTCATTTTCCCGAAGGCCATTAAATGCAGTAAAATACTAAAAACAAGATTTTTGTTGCCTATTTCAATGGAAGGGCAATAAATGCAACCAACCATCAAACAGAAACATGGCTTTTACAGTGGTGTCAACAATACAGTTCCATAATCTATGAACCCAATTGAAAGAGGGTGAAAAACTGAGCTCGATTATATCAAATTATAAAATGTGGCGACAGCCAAGTAAATGTCCCATCAATTTAATAAGAAGTAGCTCAAAGGCAGACCAATCGGAAATAGTGTCAATGAAATCTGATTTTGCGGATGGGAAAAAAGCTAAACCAACCAATCATATTAAGAAAGAAAAGAGAAGAAAACAATACGGAAGAAAAAGACAAAAGAACCCCAGTAAAGAAACAAAAACATAAGAGCTGTCATTCAACCGTATATGAAATGAACTCCACAATAATATCAATATTTTTCAGAGAAATATTGGAGAGAACCCAAATTGCATAAACCCCAAAGAGAAAAACCTATTTCAATTCCATGAGCCCAAATTCCATCAAGGAAAACAAAGTCAACCCAGAAATTCATTCACACACACCCAAAAGTTCCAAATTAAAAAACGTAAAACAGACGTATTAATTGATTAGATACCCATAAAATTCGCGAGCATTTTATAACCGAATGTTCGATTAACAACAAATATTGCGTCAAAAAGTTAAAAACTCCCGATGAACAAGGGAAGTAACCTACGCAAGAGAGCTCTAATGGAAAATTCAGACGAAACCGAAATGCAAGCTGGTCCCGGAAAATGCAGATGCAACACAAATAGACAAGAAAAATAGAATTAACCGAAAGAGGGAAGAAAAGTATGCAAGCGTTTACACTTTGGAAAAAGGCCACGGAAATAACGATTGAAAGGGGGGGAAAGTTCAGAAACCCAGATGGAAAAACAGCAGGAAAAACGTGAAAACCCCACCAAAACTTATGGGTTTAAGCACCAGATTTTGCAGAAAAACAAAAGAAGGGAAGGTCAAAGAACAGATACAGAGAGAGAGAGAAAGAGAGAGAGAGAGAGAGAGAGGAAGCACCTGAAAGAGAGGGGAGAGGTCGCGAAATGCAGAAAAACCAAGAACCCGAATCGCGAAGAACAAGAACAGAAAATCAAGCAAAAAGAAGAACACGAGGAAAAATCTTGAAGCCGAAGAAGCGAGGAGAAGAGATTCAATCAACGTTTGGTTATTTATAGAGTTTCTGTTTCCGACGGTCTAAGCGTGGTTGTTGAATCCGGGAACACCGAACAAACCTTACGCGCAGAACCGGAGCGTGTTGCCCACGCACCCAATTAACAAAACGCCGTACGTAAGATGACTCAATTTCCGTTATTCTGAATATCTCCAATACTCTTTAATCGATTAAATTATTCTCATCTAATTTCATCTTTAATTTCTTTCATTTTCAATTTTATTTTAATATATTAAAATTAAAAAATATATATATATATATTGTATAGAAAATTTTCAATTTATTGAGATCCAGAATCATAAGATTAAAAAAACAAATTTTTATCTTATATATTATTGTACCAAAAAATTTAAAATAATCAATATAAACTTAGCTTAACAATTAGTTGGAATTTTTCACCCACTTTCTATACTAAAAAAATAAAAATTACCCAAAAAATCAATAATCATATTTAGTATGTTTAGCCATTTCTCTACTACGTCTAATAATTCGGCTTTTTATCAATAATATAAAATAACGGAAAAACCAGAAAGTGGCGGAGCTTTTATTCGGTATTTTTTAATGGGAGGAAAATGGTCAAAAGTCGTCGCGCGTGGGTCCCAGCGGGGGAGAGTGACAAAGATACATATACGTGGCTTACAGCTATTGCGTTTAAAGCGCGTGACGACACGTGTGGCCGTGTCGAAGCTGACGGGGCCACGTTGTCTTTGTGTGGGGCCCTCCACGTCATTGTTGGACGTGTGCGATCGTGTCATCGCTTTCGGCAACAAGTGGGCAGTCGTCGGTGACGCTCACTGTTCTCCACGTGGCGCTGTGGGACTCGCGGGGCCCTCCTTTTATCATATTTTAGTCACAGAATTCGATGACGTGGCAAGTGTGGGACCATGTGCGATATATTTTTTTACAGCTCCTCGCTCAATTTTATTTTCCTTTTTTATTTTTCTAATTAGATACTATTTTGGGACCTTTTATTTTCGGAGGATGTAAATGTTTAACATGAGATGCGTAGAATTTTAGACCTACGAAATTTTAGATATCCGATATTTTCAGATGATTGTTTTGTAGGAAAATATATAACGATGTCTGGAAATATATGAACAACCATGTTTTTTTTAGTATTTATTCATAGGAATCTTCTAAATTTATATAATGTTCCAAAAACACCCTTACAAATATTCATATAATTTATACATAAATCTAATATAATTTATATTTGTATAATATAGTTTCTCAAAATTAATTTAATGTTTTAGGTTTTTTTATATTAATTATGTATATGTATTAATTGTGGTGTGTTATGAGGTATAATTCATATTAATATAAGACTTTTTTAAAAGTAATTAATATTGAATATAAATTTTATTTTAAACTTTAATTATTTTTTAGAAAATACGATTATATAATTAATGTTATACGGGGTAAAATTTATTTATTATATTATCAAATTATATTTTTTTAAGAAGAAAAATATTAAAGGTAAGTTGATTATTAAAAAAATGTTATTTTAAAATTATATGTTTAAGATAATAGATATTATTCATAATAATTCATTCCAAATAGTAAAAACGAATTGATATATTATATAATTTAATTGAAGTTTGTTTTATATGTATCTGTAATAAATAAATATACTTAATTGTTTATTAGTCCATGAATATATTAATTTATTTAAACTATAAAATTACAATTAAAACGAAAGAAATTTGATAAAAGAAAATGTATGAGAAAATAACGAAAGAGTAAAAATGTCAACATAGGATGTCGTCGATATGAGAATCATGGAAACCTATGTTTCAAAACGACATCCAAATCGGATCGGATGCCTTCCAAATGGACATCCTAGGATATTCGGACACTTCAAGATACTCGGGTATCTTACCACAAAACAAACTCTCACGGAAATTTTAGATTCCCACGAAACAAAGGGTCCCTATTGGGTTAGAATATTTTGCCAAATTTGAAATATTTTACCAACTAAATCATTAAAGTTTATGGTCCACATCCAAAATATGAACTCATTAAGATCATTTAGTTGGTAATGTTGACCAAGAACAAGAGAATAATATATTTTAGGTTAAATAATAATTTTCCTTTTAACTACGAGCCTTGCGTTTGCTTAGTTCATAAAAAATTAATGTATACTCCTAAATTTTGCTGGTTGAATTAATTAAAAATATAGACTAAGAATTGTATTTGTTAAAATTCTAAATTTTCATAAATGAATCAATTGTTCAGTTTGAAAATGAGTTAATTCATAATTCTCATACATATGTAGATTTGTTTAAATGTAAAATTAATGAAAAATTAAAGGGAAAGATAGAATTAAGTGTGTGGTAACAGCTTTCTTCAATACATGCGATTTTAGACTTCTCCTGTTCCTCTACTTTTATCTGGATAAAATTTGCTACCACCCACTTAAATTTCAACATTTTCTTTTAATATTTCATTACGGGTACATTTAAAGAAGTTCTGTGTTAATTATGTATTTTCACAATTTTTAAACCGAACATACTGTAGGGTGTAAATTTGATTCCATTATAAAAAATTTAAGGTTTTAATTATTCAATTATTAGTTTAGAGTTTTAAATCAAAAAATCAACTATGTTATTAACTTTAGTACTTCTACCTTTTAGGGTGTGTTTATTTTGACAATGGTAAAACTTTTGTCATTGTCATAATCACTTCAAATTAAAAAATTGATTTCAGGACAACATAAAATCACATAAATTTGATTTTTAAGGTATCAGTGATAATTTTGGAAAATCAATTATTCTTTAATCTATTTTTTTAAAATCTCTCGCTCCACTACCATTTCCAAACAGACCTTTAATAGAACGGTGTCAATCTGGGTAACATCCTATTTAACATGTTTAATTATCTCACTTTCTAAAAAGATCTAGTTSTCTGTCATATCTTATCAATTCAACTAAAATTTTATCCACGGTAAAAGATAAAGATAAAAATAAAAATTGTCGCATGCAGTTGGAATACATAGCCTAATYGATTCTCCCAAGAAAGACTTACACAGAAAGTAAACAGAAGAATTAAATACCATTTGAAAAAGTCTTAATAGAATAATAGCTTTTCCTTAGTCAAAAATAGAGGTCTAGAAGGAAATTACTTGGAAACTCACAACTCCACCGTTCCACAAACAAAAACCCCTTTACAACTATTAAGAGAGAATAAAAATAAAAATAAAGTGAAGAAATTTAATAGAGAAAGTTAACTCTATTTTCCCACTCTTTCACTTAGAGAAATGGGTTAGAAATAATTACATTAAAGAATATGATGCTAGTTAATTAAAGAATTAAAAAAGAAAAGGAAATATACTGTAACTACAGTAATATAATTAATTGTCAAGACGAGTATAGCTCCTCTAATTAAGAGGTTGTAAGTTCGATTTGAAATGAGTAATAAAATTAGTTATTAATATTAAATTAAATTAAAAAAATGAGATTTGGTGGGTCCAAATGATTTGGGTTTGATTCTTGTTATAGGGAGACAGAGGTATGAAATTTACTTGGTCAAAGATGCTGACAATACCAAAATTTAAGGAAATAGCAAGGAAGAAGAAACTACTATTAAAAAAAAAAGTACAAAATAAACATCTTTATTAATTTTACATTTTAATTTTTAATTATTAAGAGTAAGCAAGGAAACTCCTCACTTTGCCTTTTGGGCTGCAAAATGGGCAAATTCGAAAAAAAAGGGTCACAAAGTGGGCCCTCATTAACATTAATCTCTGCTACCTGTAATCTCTTGGAAAAAACTTTACTTATATGACAAAATTCTCCCTAACTTCTAATTTTCTTTTTAATTTAAAGTGATGGAAGGTATAAGAATTCAAACCTTTGATGGATACTTCCCATCAAAGTGCTCTTCATCTAGGGTCTCCAGCAAAATAATAATAATAAAATTTTTAACAAGTTTGAATTTGCTGTAAAGTTGAGAAGTCTAAGTTTTACCATACGAGTTTGTCCTCACTCACATGCTAAAGTAACTAGGAGGTCACACATTCGAAGATTGCTTCAAAAAGCTTAACTTTGTAGTTCCGACGATTGAGTTATCGAAAAGGAAGGTGCACCTTATTGGTATATGTAGGGACTATGAATTCTTTTAAGCCTTTCTTGATCATTCTTCCATGATATCAGGATTCCTCTCATTCAAATGTGGTATCGGTTCATTCACAGAGCAGCTGTGATTTGTAAAAGTAAAAGCATGTATAGTTTTAGAGTGCAATTAACATCAAATGAAGATTTGACTTCATGAATTTATAAGCTATACGTTTACGAGTTTAAAGTAGTCTAATGTCTTGGATTCTGTAAAATTGAAAACACAAATAAGGAGAATTTTGACATTTGAGGCATTGTTTGAATTGTTTACTCCATTTAAGATTCTAACCCTACTATTACTTTTCTTCTAGACATTGAGTAAGAAGATATTTAATAGGCTATTGACACGCAAGGTATGAAAGTGAAATGTGGAATTGATTCTCCTCAACTACATCAAAATTTAAAATAAATATTTTGATGTGGAAGTAAATGATAGTTTCCTTGTTACTTTTTTAGTTAGGTTATCAAATTATATTTAATGTCGTGTGTCTATTGCTTATTGGGTCTTCCAAAGTGAATTTTTTACTTGGACAAGTAACTAACTTTCATGARATAGGTGCCTTAACCATTTGAGCTATGTTGGGTTTGGCAGGTACTTATGTTTGACTCTACTAGAAGATGTGGTGGAAAATATGTATATATTTTTTTAGTACAAGTATATGAATTTGAACCTCTGATCTCAAGTGAAAGAGTAGATGTTAATTATCGTTGAGTTATGCTCTTGTTAGTGCAAAAGATCTGTGTATTATTATGTATTTATGGTCTCTCTACCCTCTTTTTTCTTTGATAAAGAAAGGAATATTGGGAAATGAAAAATTTTCACAATTTGATTTTTACTATTCTAGAAGTAGAATTGGAAAGTCCTTTGATTGATTCCACCTTCTATGTACAAATAATGTGGTAGTCATTAATTAATTAATATGAAAATGTTTAAAAAACAAGGACTAATGAATAGGTTTATTTTTTGAAAAATAAAGAGTTCTAAGAAAATGATTGTAATTACATTTAGATAGTGGTTATATTTTGGTTGTAAATA